GAGCCGTTGTTCACAGGCAAGCTGCGCAACACCATGTTCATAATCGCCCGATTTTTTGCGCAGCTTGTCAGTGAACAACGGCTCTGTGTAGTTAATGCTGCTCAATGTGAAAGCCCACACGTGATGGAGATTTACCGCTGATTACAGAAGCGGCTATACTGACAAGATGCGCATTAAATATTGCATGCGATTTATCGTGCAGCCCTAGACACGGTCCATGTCACTAGTTAAAATTGCTTATTTCTCTGGATTTAAACATTCTTTAAACATTAAAACATTTGGGATAATGTAAGTACACAAGTCAGCAAAATATATAACACTGTTCTAGTGGTTTTTGGATATTTTAATAAAAAAATCTTACATATTGTGCCTTTAAGGTGTTTACATGAGGGCTTTTTAGTCCAATTGAGCCATCAATCCGTTTACTAACAGATTATTTGGTTGCATGGTTGCATTGAGGATTTCAGAAAAGCATCCATTCTAAAGTAAGAATGAAATTGCAGTACGCCTCACAAGGTATAGCTGTCAATTTTATAATGTAACTTTTTTGAAACGAGACGTGGTCCATGACGTATACAGATGACAATTGTAATCTTTAGTGGGCGCAGCCTTTGAAATAAGACAGTGGTGAGGCAGCAGTCATGATAGATACTGTAAAGTGAGTCTGTGTTTCTTCCACAAGGTATGTTTCGGCCATGACTACACCCAGCTGTCTGTCCCCTGCGGGGCTTCTCTCTCCAGCGACGGCCTCCTCGCCTCCCTCCGAGATGTCGGCTCCTCTGTCCAGCCTGGCGACCTCCGTTCCTTCCATGGCAGCGAGTCCCTCGGGGGAGGAGGAGCGCCCCCTGCTGTTCCGGACCCCGCCGATCCTGCGTGATAAATCCGGTCTGAATCAGTCAGGCCATAACCTCCGCAACTCGGCTCACTACAATCACGGCCTGGAGCTGCCCAGCCCTGCGGCCAGCCCTCTGCACATTGTGGAGCAGGAGGAGAGTGCACAGCAGTACCAAAGCACAGCCGCAGCGTCCCCCCCACACAGCCCCACTGCAGGCCACCGTAGCTCAAGAACTCAGCCGAGTGGCCAGACGGCGCTGGAGCCGGTCAGCGGCAGTAACTCAGAGAGCAGCAGCTCAGAGAGCGAGACTGAGGAGGACACTCCGTTTCTGGGCTTACAGAACTCTCTGGCCGCTGGATCAGTTGTTGTGGACGGGCTGGAGGGCAGCAGAACTAACCCCGTGCTGCACCTCTCGCCGCAACACGACCTGCAGAGCAGACTGACGGCCGTCATGGCCAACCAAGATCCTATAGCTGTGTGAAAGATGCATCGAAGAAACAAATCACCACTAAACCTTTATTTTCTATAATTAAGTATTGCAAAAAGAAAAACGTCAACTTTTATTTTAGTGATGTAGTGAAACAAAGACTTTTATATATGTGTGTACAACGTTTGCGTCATGGAAAAAAAGTGCCATTCACATGTAGCTGAGGTCACAGTATTTCAATGGCAGAAAAAATATAATCAATGGTGCCTTTTAATTTACGTTGAAGAAAAGAGGACTGCATCATGACACTGGGCCATATATTCATGACTTTAAGGCAACAAAATAAATTGTGACTGAAAAAAAAAAAAAAAAAAAAAATTCCACCAGCACTCCCATGTCGGAATTCTTGCAATCTGATTTAAGTGTAAAAAAGCATCATAGTCTCTTAACCCAGTGGCTTTCCTGTCGACCCACCACTTTTCACATTTTATATGTCTCTCCTATTTAACACACCTGATTCAGGTCATCAGCTCCATGAACTGAACTGTGTCAGATAAGAGAGACATACAATATGTGCAGTGCTGTGGCTCACCGGGACCAGGATTGAAAACCACTGACCGTACTGTGGCAAGAATGTTTGAGTTTAATTACACTGATAATTATTTATGCATTTTGATTTAAAATATGAAGTGTGGCTGCTGCAAACTGAAAACAAGACAATTCAAAAGCTATATAAATTAAGAATAAATGCTAAAAAAAAATACTCACAGGAAGCAAATCTTCACGTACAATCAAATTAATCAAAATATTCTGGTTGTCATGTATTGCAAACATTACTTCTATGAGACAGACATTAGATCTGATTGTTTTTCTTTCATATAAACGTTTCGATTTATTACTGAATGACTGAATATATGGCTCACTTTTGTCGATCATGCTCATTGGCTTATCAAGCAATGCATTGTGGGAAAATTACAGCACCAGTTTTATGATACTGACATCGTTTTTATTCCTATATTTTATTTTATTAGTTATTGTCCAAATCATTTTTTTTTACATTTGTCCTTTGCTATCCATGTAGAATCTTACATTATATTCAAAGTGTTCCTTTGTGTCATGTTATTTTTCATCATGTTTATGTGCATATGTGTGATCATTTAAAGAACAAATCACCTGTTGTACAGTATTTTGCTATGTTTGCATCACCAGATTACTACAGTAACTTATGTATTCACAAGGTTTTACTGAAAATAGCCGCTAATAGTCTATCCAGCTTGCTAAACAGAAGAACTGGTTACACAAACAACACTTTTAACCTAGAGCTCACTATAAAGCTCACGGCTCTAGTGCGTGAAGGCCTTTTCCCCTAAGTTTTAATTTTAATGAAATGTGGCCCATTTTATTGTATTTATTTTCTTTATTTATTTGTTAATTATTTATTTATTTATTACCTGGGCCTTATGGAATCTAGCATCTATAAATCTATATTTTAATAGCAATGATAATAAGAGATATTTGCAGTCTTTGGGTACAACAACAAAACCTTATTTTTAGTGTGGTTTTTTTCCCTCATCACTCCATAATATATTTGTGTGCTGTTTTGCCATTTAGGCCTAGACTCTGTTATTCAAACTCTCATTCAAAAACAATAAATGTTCAACATGACAAATATCCATGAACCTGATTATACAATTTAAATGAGCTGAACTGCGTCTGGGACACTTGAAAACAGCCCTTGTTATGTTGCTTTTAATGCAAGCCTTTATGTAACTATTCAGGCCACCTTGAGATGTTTGATTTTAGATATGATGCAATATGGCTGTTTTAGGCACCTTTAAACACCATCACCTCTTCCATCATCAAAATTTGTTTTGTTTTCAAAAATGGCTGATCATTTACTGTTTGGATGAAATAGTCTATCACCTTTTGCAGAAATGTACAAGTTAAGGTATAAAGAAGTGTGATCTCTAAATGCATCAGTGTTCCAGCATAGCAGATTTTCGGCTCCACATTGCCAATGAAGATAAAGGAGGAACAGAAAATTTCCAAAAAAATGTCATTCTGATAGCTGCATGAGCACAGGAGGACAAACACAGGCATGACTTGCACAACACATGCAAACAAGCATGGGCAGAGATGTCGATCAGGACATGACCACACAAAATGTTCATTTTCATCTGCTCTTGTGTGAACAACTCTATAAAACGTCTGGGCAATATGTATGATAGCTTCACGTTGTGTTGGATCTCTTTATTTTTGCAATGTCTTATTCTCTAAGCTGTTTAAATAAATTAACGGTGTTAGCAGGTGTTGATGGCACACTCAAAGACATTTGATTCACTCTTGAGTGTTTGCATTTGCTTGAATGTATCTGGTACCTTCTTTAATCTGTGCTCTCTGGCTGCCAATAGACCCGTATGGCATATCGATTGGAGCGGCTATCGGTATTGCTGGTGACAATTTTGAGGGTTCTCTTTCAAACTCAGTAGCACGTCAAAAGTTAAAATTTTAATGTTTCAAATTTTCACAGAATTTGAGTCAAATAATGCTGGCCAAAAGATAGTTATTTTGTTATAACAGACTCTTTTATTAAATTGTACGGTGAGGATGCCACAAGGCCTCATCTTCACAATACTTGAGCCATGAAGCTTGATATGTCACGTCACTGTACCCTGACTTAGGATACCAACCCACTGAAAACCATTAGTGGTCTTTATACATTACTTAATGATTTTGTTCATAATATCCACTATAGTTTAATTTTTTGTTTTTTGCTCACAAGGAAGATTAAAATGTTAATTACCAAGCAAAATCCTACATTAATTGTACAGTAAAAAAAAAACTTTGCCCGTTTCTGGATAGTCTGTCTTTCAGAAGGTTATGATGCATTTTTTCAGCTTTCTGAGTTAAATTGATGGTTTGCAGGTAAACCAACTGTTGAACTGTTGACCCACACCCTAACAAAGGATGTTAATGGCACGTCTGGTACGTGTGGCATTTATGAGAACAATTCCGTTCTTGCATTTTGCCAGAAACAGGAAGAACCCAAAAATTCCCTGAGATAGAATTTGTGCACAATTGATCATGGGCCAAGATAAATAGTATACATAAAGACATTTATTATTGCGTTTCTAGAAATGGCAAGTACCATCTTTTTGTGGGTTGTGAAATTCATAGAACATCTATGAAGCTATGCTATCTACTGTTTTTACCCCAGAACAAGACTGCTCACTAAAAAAGGAAAAAAACCTTTTAAAAAGACTTTTTTAAAAATCCCACAAGTGATTTAATAATGTCAGCACTGTTGATCAGTGAGTGAATATGACATGACGCATCCTTAGTTGTTTGCTGTTTCAATTGGTTGTTGAGCTTATTTCTCTCATGACTTACAGTTCTGAAGTTACTCCTGCAACTGTTGAAGATACTCCCAGAAGATGACGATGAGAACAATTTGCACCCTGTGACAGTAACACTGGCATGAGATCACGATTGGGCTCATCTGGCCAACGGTGGGGGATTGATTTGGAAACCTGTTTAAAAGCATTCATTATTCTTGCATTGTGTTTGGCGAACGCAAGTGGTGCAGAAATTACACGCTTCACTTTTAACTACCAAAAGCTATTCCTTAATGACATCATCCAGGAAGTGACCGTTCTGGAGGCAAAACAACAGCACAAACCCCTGTATATATTAGCCATTTGATGGGTTTTGTGATGTTAGTCACTTTATCGCAGAATACATATGAAAATTAACGTCGACATCCTCATGTAAGCCAAACCCCTTACTGAGCTAATTTCAGTCATTGCTTTAAACTTTCACAGTTTAAAGCTTCATAGTTTAAAAGGTTCTGCAACACAGGAATGTTCCTGCTACACTACATAAAACAAAGAATGAGGTTTTAACTGTCATGGGATAGAAACTCTTTAATGCCATCAGGTATGTGCTGTCAGATGTCTAAAATGTTTGAAATACCTTTCAGTCAACTTGGTCTGCCAGGATTACAATCATTTGGAGAAATAGTTATGTTAAAAATAAAAGTTCTCTCATCATTGACTCACCTTGGACTTTCTTTCTTCTGCAGAACTCAAACAAATCATCTTAGAAGAATATCTCATATACAATGCAAGTGAATGTTGCGCATAAAGGCAGCATAAGTAATCAATACAAGTTCAGTGGTTTAATTCATGTCTTCTGAAGAGATCAAATCATCTGGGCTGAAAGCAAACCAAAAGGGGACTTATTTTATCTTGTCATGCAGTCTCTTGATTTTTGGTCTGATGGTCTGAAAATATGATTGTGATTAAATCATGTAAAAATGTATGCTCCTCAACTTTGCACCCAATACAAAATGTTACTCAGCTCTATATTTCTTCTAGACCAGATTAAATGTGATAGTGGGGGGGACCATTGGCCATTTAGCACCCATATAAGTGTAAAGTCTGTGACCAGGACTGTAATTTATATGCAAATGTCAAAAGCTAAAAGGGTCTCTTAAGCCATAAAACCCCAAAGATCATGCATGATTCTACGCAGACGCTACAGTCTAAGTCAGAGTTGTTGTTTTTTATTTTATTTTTTTATTTTTTAACTTGGGGCCTCGAGGTCCACTTTCCTGTAGCTCCAACCTTGATCAAACTCCTCTGCTTGTATTTTTCTAGTGATCCTGAAGGCCTTGTTTAGCATGTGTAGGTGTGTTTGGTTAGGGTTAGGGTTGGAAAGTGAGCCTCGAGGGCCAGAGCTAAGAACCCCTGGTCTAAATTATCCAAGTTAACATAGTGTATATAATACATTAAAGGCTAGATGACTTATTATTTCCTTCTCTTAAATTATGATAAAACAGTGATATTATTCATTGGACCAAAAACATGTACACATAAGATCTTAGAATAAAAATAGGCATTTATAAGAAAGTACTGTTTCTCCATTCTCCACAGTCAGAGACCTGGGTGTTATTTTATAAAGTAGCTTGTTTTTTGAAAATCTTATTTCTCAATTTACCAAAACAGCTTTCTTCCACTACTGCCAAGTTGTCTATATCTAATGCAGAAAAGCTAGTTTATGCATTCATGACCCCTAGACTGGATTATTGAAATGCACAAATAGATGTTTGTCTTGCATGTTCAATAAACAAGCTACAGTTAGTTTAAAAGGCAGTTGATAGAGTTACTATCAGATCAAGAAAATATGGTCATATCACCCCAATATTTTTGTCTTTACATTGATTAAAGATATATTATAAAATATTGCATACTTCTAAAGCCCTAAATGGCCTAGCTTGTTTATAATAACCAAACTTCTGTGCTACAATTCATCATTTTTTAATGGACTATTCATAAATACC